AAGCTAAAGTGGGATTCGCCGCGTGAATATTCACCACGTATTGAAACTGATTTCGATTCAATTTGTTTCCCGTCCCCTTTTTTGTTTGTGTGTGTCACTGAAGTGTCCTCGTGTACAAGAGAGTCCAAAGCCTCAATTGATGTTTAATCCTGGTTCAGTACAATACGCCCATGGGGAATCAGAAATCATATTCATCTTCGGATATTTTACATTTTATTGTAGAACTTACCAGGGCAACACTAAGGGATGCCACAAATGGTCTGTATGTGCTTGGCATAATTTTCTGGAGTTTTCCAAGGTCAACGGCCCTAGGGACCAAGTTTCCAGTACAGGCGAGCAGCAGGGCAAACATGATGAAATAAAAGACGAGAGACTGCAAAAGATAGAAAACAAATTATATATAAGAAGAATGAAAAAGATAACCATACAGGTTTAAATTAATAGAAAAATAAATGAACACATGAATGAGTGGATGAATGAATAATGAAAGACTAATAAGAAAGAATATATAAATTGATAACTAAATGATTGAAAGATCAATAGGCTAGTCTCGAATTGTTTGTGCGAGAAAGTCTGGTAACTAGTTTTGAGCACCAGTCGGGGCTGAGGGGAATAGGAGTCGTATCGACATGGCAGATTATGATGCACTGACCAAAGATCGAACTGAGATCTATCGATTCAGCTTCCGGGGCGCTGATTGTTGGGCTATCCCAGGCGAAAGATCCAGGAATTTTTGATAGGAGGGGGGCGGAGAACGAGGGGTGAGGGGTACCAAACTCAGAAGACACATAAATTTTCATCTTCACACCAGGGTCTAAACAAGCTGAAGAATATTTCAAGACAAGCAGATCTCAAATCCTTTATATTTAGTGTTTTTTGTTTGTTTGTTTTTTTTTTTTTACCATCCTGTTGTTACCAGTGTCTGTCATTAACAGGTTTAATAGGGTGGGGCAAGGGGAGTAGTTCAGATCCTGAGACCCACCCCTTGGAGTCACTAGTGCCCCCATTCGTCATTCAGAAAACAGGA